CATCTTTTCTTTTTAACTTTTAATAATAAAATCATTTTAAATATATATATTCTAATCCAAAAATTCAATCATGTTAAAATATATATTGAACGCTAAAAATATTCTTTAAATTGCATATCCAATCAATTAATCTTGATTTTTTTTTAAATTACTGTGTTTATTTTTTATTAATATGCATAAAATAAAAATAAATAATTCATCTTTTAATATATAATTTACAATCTTAATATACTATTATTTGGTGTAGACATATGAATCATAAAATTTTTTTATTTCATAAAATTAAATATTATATCTAAAGAAAATAAGGAAATTACTTTGGATCAATCGGGTGATTGAATTAGGGTACTGCCTACGTTGATTGAATTACTTTTAGGTGATATTTAAAATAGTCAAAAAACTTTGAAACAACTTAGTTAGTCCCAGGTAACTAAGTTATTTATCAGTTTGACCAGACCAAATCCATTATTGAACCTAAATATAAATTTTAATATTGAAAATACTTTATTACGTGAATGTGATGTAGTCCAAACTTTAAATAATTATATTAACATTACTTTTATGACAACATGATTAATGATTTATGAATATTTATATATCATTTTATTATTATTTATGTGAACAAAATAATTATTTTATTATATTTTTTATTAATGTACGGTAAATAAAAGGTTTTCAGAACCGGACCGTCATCGAAACGATCAAGTTATTTTATTAAATCATTTGTGGTTGTTCAAATTTTAATACATAATACTTATATATATATATATATATTTAGTACTTTTTGTAATTAATTTAAATAAAAAGTGTTACTTAAATATCTAAACAATTTATAAATTCAAATGTTTAAATTAGTTGATAAAAAATTTATAAATCTCTATTTTATTTAAATATGTAATTTTATTTAAAATTATTTTTAATGTAACAAAATTTGTTTAGAAAATCGTATCGATCCTACCAATCCAACAGACTGGTGTTGAAAGATTCGATAGCAAATATTTTATTCAAGCGCACTAGACTGGTTATAAACCGGTTATCGGTCCATCCGGTCAGTGTCCAACCCGACTTAATTTAAAAATAATGGATAAATCATGATTAATATTATTTATTTATTCAATTTATAATACAACCAAAATATTGTTTTCCCGTGCGATAGTTACGAAGAAGAAAAATTAGGGGCTTAATAATGGCATTAGGGATTGGTCTAAGGTATAATGGGCCGATTTTGCAAGCTATTTGGGTCGATTCTTTTCAAACGGGACGGTTTTAAGAGTTTTAAAAAGGTCGAAATACACAATTAAACTGGGCCAGGTAGTTTATATCCGAATTGACCATAAATTTTCAAATAGTNGGCTCGAAAGAATACAACGCGATTAACAAGGATATCGAACGATTTCGATTGACGAACACGATAAGGTTGAAAATAATTTTAGTAAACAAAAATGTCTACCTAAATTATTCGACTTGTTAGATTAAATAAACGAGGACGTCCAAATAATCATAATAAGCTTAGACGAGAGATTTGCCGAGCAAAATAAAAATAAAAAATCAAAATTACAAGTAGGGTACACCAAGTAAAATAAATGCAAGCAATTACATAAAATAAAATATAAGTATGCATTGCACATAAAATAAAATAAGAGCAGGCACAAAAGATAAATAAAAGCAAGCAATGATAATAAAATAAATATATGCAATCAATAAAATAAAAGCAAGCAAATAAATAAATAAAAGCGAGCCAATAAATGAAATAAAATACTAAAGTTCGCAAGAAACAAACGGGGCACTACAAAGTAGTTCTTTTAAGAAGTCATTTTCTGGCGAAAGCAGATGATGGCCATGATAAAGGATTGAGAGTCGGATATATGCTAGTTAGGACAACAGTTCCTTCATAATAAAGATTGAAAAAATGTATACTTAGAAAGGAACCGGTTGAAATGAGCTCCGATATGTCTGAACCGCCTCTAGATCGCCAAGAACACTTGCAAGAACTCAACGCCGGAGGGGTTTTCGGCGTAGAGCCTCCGACGCTCAAGTCAGTGACAGGAAGAAATGGAAATGGTCTACTCAGGAGGAGCAGCAGCTGCAAGAAGATATGGAATGCGTAGAATGTGTAAAAGTTAGGGTTTGGTGTTACCCCAGTCCCTTTTATAGAGAAAAATACCTGCTTGAAATACCCAAAATGCCCTTGGTCGACCGGCCTGATCACCCGGTGTATTTGTATCCTAATCACCTCTTAGTCAGATCCGAGTCAGCTTAAGATTTCATCTTATCTAGTAAAGATTCATCCTTATCCATTGAGTTAGTTCGAATATCCTGAAGTGTCTTTAATCGTCACCTCAAGCCTCGAGGTATAAAAGGTCGACCTCGAGTGACAAGAGGTCGACTTGGAGTTCACGTGTAGGAATATATCAGGAGGCTCTACCACTTGCCCTTGAGTCATTCTCGTCTTTTTAATGAAGCAAGTCGACCTCGAGTTAGTCGATCTTGGTTTAGACAGTTAGGGGGGTCGACTCGAGAATGTCGATTTCCCTATTCGTGGTGATATGGGAAGTCGACCAGTAGATGTCGACTTCCACAGATAGTGATATAAAGAGTCGTCCTCGAGTAATGGGGAGTCGACCTCGAGGAGTACAGGATCATCCTCGAGGGGTGGAGAGTTGTCCTCGAGAAGCTGATAGCTCTTCGAGGAATAGAGAGTTGACATTGAAGAACTAACTTTTACACGTTCTACACATTCCATATCTTTCTGCTGTTGTTGCTCCTCATGAGCAGAGCATTTCCATTTATTCTTGTCATTGACTTGAGCGTCGGAGGCTCTACGCCGGAAACCCCTCTAGCGTTGAGTTCTTGCAGGTGTTTGTGGCGATCTAGAGGCGGTTTAGACAGATCGCAGCTCATTTCAACCGGTTCACTCCAGATCTAGGAGGAGACCCATCAGGTTCGATGTGTCGAACGGAAAGATCATTATTATGGATGTCTTGTAAAATATAAATATTTGTTCACAGCGTATACGGAACTGAACTAACTGTCATGAAAGGCTATAGTGTGATTTTGAATTAGTTGTTTTTTGAGTAATGTATTACACTAGTACATCTCGGATGTATACGGGCCTACGGAGGATAAGATTATATTATACTGACTAATTAAATAATCTAGGTCTAAGTAGCTGTTGCGTTCTCTTAACCCGTAAGACAATAAACGAACATATGTATTTGATACTTATTTATTTAATTTAACATGGGTGAGACTTATTTTGTTAGGTCGACATACTCTGTGTTTTGGTAAATAACGTCGAGTGCATGATGTGCCGTTGAAATTATTTATCGTCTCTCGGTATGCCGGTTTGATGAATCAACGTCCCCGAAATGAACTCAGGAAGGATTATTATGTGAAGCTCAGCTGGCGGATTAATTTCCGACATAATGAAAAGAATTGAGTAGTATTATTTTCGGATAAAGAAGTTGATTAATTATATTGTTAGTAGTTAAATTAATTAGCGGGCGTTATATCTTAAATATGTGGAGGTAAATCGAGCAATTAGTCGAGAGACAATTTATTTGTAATTCAGGGGCTAAATGGAGAGTTTAATAATATTTTGATAGTGACGTTAAATATTCTTCAAGTATGAGCAGAGTGGGCTTGGCCCACACATAGGCCTATATTTGGGGAGCCCATGTTTAACATCTCCTTAAGCTTATTGTAGCCTATAAATACACCAAAGTCCTTAGCCTACAAACATTGTTCCACACGCATAACACACGTGAGAATCAATTTTCTCTTCTCACTGGATAAAATATATATGTCCTCACAGCATATCCGATTACCACCAAACTTGGCATGCCAAACAACCGGTGACTACCGAACGCGGTAGGACCATTAGCGGCAATGGGCGCACATCGGTGAGGCAAGGCGGCACCGGCCGCCCACCACAGCTACCGGTAGACGACATGCAGGCAGCCCGTACCAAGACGTGGTGACGCTCAACGACCACCGTCCCAGACCGCGCGATGCTTGGCGACTACTGTTTCAAACCGTGCGACTCTCATCGACTAATGTCACAAACAGCTCGACGCTCTGCAATCAGCAACCCAGATAGTGCAACACTTGCGCAGCTGCGCTCAACGTCCTGCCAGGACTCGTAGCAGCCCAAGTGCACACCATCATGCACTAGGCGAGCCGCGACGAGCCCAAATCATCTCAAGCAGCCCCTAAGCGAAGCAAACTGACAAGCAACTCGCGAGACGCGACTCGACAACCGTGAAACGCACGACCAAAGTCTAGAAGGACGACGGGATGAGAAGATCGTCTCATAACCGTTCGTCTGGCCTCGTCGGCCGTATATGTCTGTACAAAATTGGCAAAATTTTAAACTGTAAATTTCGAATTCCATTGTTAGTTTCCACTGCACATAAGATTTGTTTCTTAAATTAACAATAGATTCAAAGCAACGTTGCTCACATAACTGAACAGTTAGTTCAGGATCCAGTCCAACCCAAGACGCCTAACATTACACCGCTATAAAGATAGCTTTTTTATTCTACCCAAAAGAATTAAAAAAGTTCTCCGTTATATTCTCTTCGTCCAAAAATTGTGGGGCAATTCTATTTCCTACTTTCAGTTTCCGTCGACACCCTGCCCACGGCCCCACACACGCTTTATTTCCCATTGTCCGAAAATATTCTATGCTCGATGAGCCAATAATAGCACCCTCGAGTGTGTGTGTGTGTTCTTGAGTTTTCTTAGGTGGTTTCGAGTGACAAAGGTGTAAACTTGTTGAGGCTTTTTAGTTGGAGGATATGGAGGCTATCAAGAAGCAAGCAAGTAAATTAAGAGAACAAGTGGCCAGGCAACAACAGGTATAATCCTTTCTGGTGTTTAGAAGGGAGAAGAAAAGGGTTGAGTGGAATTAAAATCTTGGGAGTGGATGAAGTTGCTTAGTAAAGATAGTTAATTCCTGGCCTAAAGGAGGTAGTTTGTGATTTTAATTTCTGGATTATTGTCATTTGATCGATCATCGATCTGTGTTTTTCAGTTTGAAGTGCATATTTCATGCCCCTTAAGCTATTTCCCTTTATATATATTTATATGTATTTTACCCATTGTTTATATGGTATGAAATTTAGTTGGATTTTGTGTTGTAGAGGGCTCCAGAGTTTGGAGAAAAATAGATAAATTGAGCTATTCCCTTTATATATATTTGTATATATCTTGCTCAAGTTTTATATTGTGTGAAATTTAGTTGGATTCTGTGTTGTAGAGGGCTCCAGTTGGAGACAAATAGATAAATCGAGCTATTCCCTTTATATATATTTGTATATATCTTGCTCAAGTTTATTATGATGTGAAATTTAGTTGGATTCTGTGTTGTAGACTAGAAATAAAAGATGAGATGGAAGCCTGAAAATTTCGGCTGCAGTTGGAAAGGAAAAAGTAGCATATATCAATCAGTTATATATAATTTTCTAGAACAATTTTTTGTGTCTTTGGAGAAGTCTCATGATTGTGCTGAATGCAATTAGCAGTCCCATTAAGATAATTGTATCTATTGCACGCAGAGAAAAAAGGGAAATGATAGATTGTCCTCCTTGCACATCTGGTGGTTATTCAGAGGCAGTATCAGATGTTGGCACAATCTTGTTCAACAATTTTGATCAAAATTTTGCATCAAAATCTAGCTATTGCATATCTCCAGCGTTAGTAGGGTAGCTTCATGAGTGAGAGCTTATTTGTGATGCAAAATGCAGCTTTTCATTTCTGGTACACCACCTTAAGGAAAAAAAAGGCACAAAATCTTTTAGAAAAAGGAATTACAGAGTATTATGCTTCCTAAGGTTTCAGCTTCTTCTTCCGCAGCCTCAACAACACAAATTTGAATTATCTTAGATCGTCAAATTTTGTTTTACGGGGGACCATTACCACAATGTTTAAATCTTTATTGATAAGACAAATTAATGATCTAACGGAGTCAAAGGGTCCGAAAAAAAAGTCCAGTAGTAGTAAATCCATATTCTACGAAGCCCCCCTTGGATACATCATCGAGGACATTCGACCAAACAGAGGCATCAAGAAGTTTAGTTCTGCTGCATAGCACTTGCAAGTCGTCTTGATATTACTAAGCGAGCCTCCGAATCATTTCGTTTGCAGTGGTGAAATCAATTTACTGCTTTAAAAATATACTGCTCACTATTTTTTTTTAGCTTTTTGCCTGCACTCCTTTTCTTCATTCTCCATCTGCTGTCTGCTGTTGCTTTGACCACACTTGTCTCAAAATGTCTCTTACTCCATCTGCAATTGGTTTCAAAGGATTCAAAAAGAGGCTCGAAATCTCCTTTTCTGAGCCCAGCATCTTTGCTGAACCTGAAAGCAAGGATTGCCTTCCCTTTCCAATTCATAATTGGACAAAATTCTGACCCTGTTGAGTATCAAACGAACACTTGGACTCATATGACCATCCGTACAAGATTTTTATCCAAACTTGCTGAACAACAAAATTTTTTCTTTCCATCTCTCCCATTCTCACTCTCTTTCGGTTCATACTGTGAAATACATACGAGGGAGATTCCTCTTTCCTGGCCTCCGTACAAGATTTTTATCCAAACTTGCTGGACAACAAAATTGCTTCTTTCCATCTCGACCAGTGTCACTTTCTCTTTCGGTTCATACCGTAAATTTTCTGAAGAAGTTTCTGTCCTTGATGTGTATTTCGGAAATCGTGGCACGAGCAAGGCCTACATCATGGGAAATTCTAATGAACCCCAAAAATGGTTATGTTTATGATGAGATGAGTCTCAAGGAGCTGGGATCAGGTGGATCGATTGTCTACAACAACTTCGTGAGGACTAATGCATTTTGTGGGCCGCCCAGGTCCATTCTGAAGTGTTATGGGGGTGAGGATAATGAAGAAGAGGAAGAAAATGAGTAGCATTTATCGGTTTTTATAGTGTTCTGCTTGGAATAAAGTTTATGGCTATGTTGTTGGTCATAAACAATTTGTTTGGTTGTGTGCGCTGGATTTTTATTTTGTTGTATTTTATTACTGTATTATGTTGCTTTGTTTTGGCCCTTTGGGTTTGCTTTTATGTTGCTGAATAAATGTTGAACTGGTTTGATTAAATAAAAAAAAAAAAATGCTGGAAGTTATGTTTGTCCACATTGATTAGTTACTGGGTTGTTATTGTGAATAAGTGTAGGTTGAATTACCTCCATGATAAATGGATTTGGGTAAAACTCATCCCCAAACCCTAGCTCAAAGGAAGAGGGTGCTCAACCCACATGTATACATTAAAACAGCCCAATAACTAATCGATGTGTGAGAAACATAGATTGTAAANGTTTAGTTAGTTGTAAACCGTTAGAGGCATGCTTCACTTGCAGGCAATTCTTAGGCAACTGGGGCAATTAGGTCATGGAGGGGTTATGATCGACGAAGGCGACTTAGAACTTCATGAGCAACTACAGTGTTTGTACAAATCGACAAGGGCAGCCAAGGTAATTACATGGAGTCATGTTCTTTTTACCTTCGATTCTTTAAAAGCAGTTCTCCGAATCTAATGTATTGTCATTATATAACCTGGGCAGTCAAATTTAAGGAGCTTTTTGTTGCACAGCATTTCCAGAGGGATATTGTTCGTGGGTTAGAAGGATTCATATCGACAGGCAAAAAACAAATGGAGATAGGTGTGTCTCGTCATATTTTTATTTTACTTTTACTTTTATTTGAAAAAAAAAATACTGGTGTTTAAATTGTGCTTTGTAGCTAGGAAGTTGGCTGAAGATTGTTGCAAGTATGGTATCGAAAATCAAGATTCTGATTCTTCACTTGCAAGGGTCGCTTCAGGCTTTGGTACATCTCATGCCGCCATTGAAGACCACAATGAAAAAATGCTTGGAGTTCTTGGTTACCAGGTAAATTGTTTGGTGTTTTAGTAGTGTTTTATTGAAATATTTAAAGGTAGATTTGTGACAAAAGTGTGAGTGTCTTCTTTACTTTCTTTCTTTCTTTCTTTCTTTATTTCTTTCTTTCTGTGGTAAGTTCTACTAAAAGTCCAAGTAGCCTGAACATTTTTTTGAAACACTACTATATTACCTTTTTTGGCTTTTTTTTTTCTTCTCTTTTCTCAAGTTTCTCTCAAAAGACAAACCAACAAACGAAAAAAAAAAAGAGTAAAAAGGCCTTCTTGGTGTGTAATTTTCAACTTTATTTGAGTAAAGGAGTGTGATAATTATTGTATATTTGTGATCCACAATACTTTGTTCCCGATCTTTAGGTTGTGGAGCCACTTCGTGCACAAATTAGAGGTGCTCCTCTAGAAGATGCCCGTCACCTAACTCGCCGTTATGATAGAATGCGTCAGGAATTTGAACTTCAGGTCCTCTCTCTCTCTCTCTCTCTCCTTCTATCTCTCCCTCTAAGTTTGGTTAACTTCATGCTGGAGTTAAATTTAAACACCCCCAATTAGGCAGCTGAAGTCATAAGACGGCAGTCGAAGTCCAGAGACACTTCTGCTGAGAGTGCTTTGAAGCTCAAAAGTGCCGAGAAAAAGTTGACAGAGCTCAAGTCTTCAATGCTGACGCTTGGAAGAGAAGCTATTGATGCTATGTTGTCTGTGGAGGGTCAGCAACAGGAAATAACTTTCCAGAAGATTTTTACCATGGTAATTTGTGCTTCGTGAAGTTTTTATGTACTTGGTTTCCTAATTATAATTATGTATGTTTATAAAACTGAGATGCCGTGAGCGCTCGAGAGGAAAGGAAAATCGAAGGAAGTTTTTGGTGGAACATTTTTAATTTGCACTAGTCATATATTAAGCTTGCTTTGAAATTTTTGGCTCTCAGGTTGATGCTGAGAGATCTTATCATCAAAATGTTATTGCTATTCTGGAGAAGCTGCATTCAGAGGTCTCTAATATGTCAACTTTATATTATATCATTTCAATTTATATATATGTATACATATATAATTGTGTTTGTGTGTTTCTGTACTCATGTTGATTGCGGATATACTTGGATGAGCAAGTAATTTTTCCACAGTGAATATATTGTTTCTTTATTATTAATAGTTAAAATTATTAATTGTTATTATATGTTTTTAAATCTAATACAATAAGTCACCATCATTGTGTTTTCTTTGCTAAAAACATCAATGCTTGCTGTTAGATGATTCTTGAGGAGCAAATGGAAGACCCTATCTTGCAACCCGAAACTCCCCACAGAGGTGAAAGTATTCCATCTTCTTCTCATGAGTCAGTTTCCAATAGATCTAATGTTGAGGATGGTGAAAATAAAAGCGACAGCTACTTTATTGCCAAGGTAAATTCCTTTTCTTACTGTTTCTAGTTCAGCATCTGTTTGCTCGCGAACCCTCATCCAACAAATTAAACTTTTTTTTTTTTTTTTTCATTTTTCAATCTTATTTTTCGACCTTGTGTTTTTAGTTTTTCATATTTGTTGTTAGGCAATACATCCATTTGATGCTCAAGCAGATGGTGAGCTGAGTCTTGAAGTCNCCATTTTCAACACTGTTGAAATCAGAATGCTAAAACATAATTTTGTTTTTGAACAACTTATGAATTAGTATTATAACTATTAAAAAGCAAAGTTGATGTTTGTAGGTGTCTACAAATGGGTGGTCTGAAGGAGAATGCAAAGGCAAAGCCGGTTGGTTTCCCTCGGCCTATATAGAAAGGACAGTTAAAGTCCCAACAAGCAAATTACCCAGACACAATTCTTCACCATAACTAAAGATGGCATCCTTGTTTTGGTGAGTTGTGTTGTACATTAACATGTAAAGCACATGCTTTGTATTTATTGGGGGCGTGTTTGTGTTGTATGGCAATGTCCAAAAGCAAGTTTTTCATACTGAATATAGAATTTATTCGGTTTGTCAATATTATTGTACATTATCTCAGTAAATGATTAATTGATGAGGGCACATGTTATTTTGATTTTTGAGGATTGATTTGCATAGATAAAATGTGAGAAAGAAGAAAAAACATACATAATCTATTGTGGTTGGTTTTATTCCTTTTCTTTCTCCCTTTTTCTTTTGGCTGCTATAGGTGTGTTATTAGGCTTTTTGGTGAAGGGCCTTTATATAAGAATTTTATTTACATGTCTTTGGCTTAGGCTTAGGTGCTTTTTCCGTTTAATATGCAAGATATTGGAGATTTGGAGGTTAATAAGAAGGTTATCTATATATATATATCAGAAATTCTATGGTGCCCATATGGGCACCATATGGTGCCATAAATCTCACGATCCAACGCCTAATATCCATCCTATCAATTCCACAATGGATATTAAGCATTGGATCGTGAGATTATGGCACCATATGGTGCCCATATGGGCACCATAGAATTTCTGATATACATATATAATAAGAATTACCATTTAACGAAAATAGTAGCAAAAAAATAGAAGATAATTTAATGCAACCTATAAATAATAAGTTTTATTATTTTTTTACTTTTATCTTTAAAAAATCATACTCATTAAATGTTGCATTATATTTTGGGCTTTAATTCATTTTATTATTAAAAAATTACAACTAAGATCTATTAAGTGTGCATTTTTCATTTTCTTCATGGAAATAAAGAAGAAAAATCTCAGTCTCTATATTTATAAAATCTCACTTCAAAAGGTAATAAAAATTTTAGAATATCGGTCTTTATATTTATTCCTTTAAAAAAAATATTGAATGCTATTCTTTAAATATCATTTTCGACTAATCATCACAATTTTTTTATTTGGAATGTGTGATAATGAACTCGGTAATGTTTATCAATTCTTTGTTTACCAATCTATTGTTTTTTCTATACTCGGTTTCAAAAGGTAAAATAATTTTCAAATTCTCAGTCCCAATAATTGTGAATTTAAAAAAAATATTTAATGATAATATATTATTTATTAATAGTACATAATTTTGAAAACTCTATTATAAATTGTATGTTGATATCCAAATCATTTTATAAGTGCAATCGACTTTTTTAAATCTCCACGAAAATATGGTAAAACAAAATGAGACGATCAACTTGGTATAGAAATAAAATAAAATCAATAAATTAATATGAAGTTCATAGAAAATTAACATAATGAATAATTTGTATAGTACACGGATCTAATAAATAATACTCACGTGGATTCTATAATTCAAACTTATACTTATCATCATCTTCTGGAAATTGAATAATATATTGTAGGTAATATTTTTTAAAATAATTTTAGACATCTTTTATTTATAAAATAGTTTAGAAAAATTTTAGGTGACTTCACATCTTTCAATAATGATATATAATATTTTAGATACTGTACATACGTTATATAATGTTTGTTATATAATATTTGAGGTTTTTTTTATATTTTAAACATACATTTTTTATGTTATTTTATACAAGATAATTTTATATTATTTACAGCTGATATGCGATAAATTATGTCACATATTAACTCCACATCTTAATTACAATTATTAGTTGATCTTGTTTACCTTCATATTTATTTTATAATTATTTGTTAATATTGTTTACTATCATCGTTAATTTATAATTATGATTTAATATTGTTTACCCGTGCATCGCACGGGCTACACACTAGTATATATGAAGAGGTTGTTAGGAAAATACAATAATAGAAAGTTTGACCAAATAAATATAATGTTTGACTTACTATTAATGGAAAGTTCGAAAAAACACATGTAAATCTTCAGAACAAAATCTGAATTCTATTTTTTCGGTAACAAATTTGGAGATTCTTATGACAGAATTTGAATCCCATTTTTTTCGTATCATATTTTATTTTTTTACCAAAATTTAAATCATATCTTTTTTGGTAACAAATTTAGAGATTCTTAAGCAAAAAAATTATTTATGAAAACAATTCTAAATACAAATCAATTTAAAAACCGTGCAAATTGGATACAAATTTACGAAACAAATAGTTGTATAATTTCTAACCAATTCTTTCAATCTTATTGAATAATTTTTTTTTTCAAAAAAGTGTTTAAATTGGTTAAAACCACGTGCAATTTTTATTTTAAAATAAAACTGATATTTGGACAGGATGTACATTCAAAATTGTGCCCACATTTTTTGGTAACAAAAGCGGTTCATCTTTGATATTTAAAGTCACCTTATCCAATTATTTAGGAAAATTTGTGCAACTTTTCAAAATTTAAATGCATCGATTGGTTGTGAAAAATAATTGGTTTATAGGTTTGATGCTCACTGAAGAACAAATCAAGAACCTGGCCCTTGCTGAGTTTGAGAATTTATTGAGACGACGTAGGTCAAGTCTTCGTGAATACTCAACTATGCCATTTCCGGATAGGGAGAACATCAATTCAAGTTCGAATCGTATAATTTTGGATGAATTGAATTATGATCGAAAGGCCCTCACTGTTGAACACGATATGCTTCTTAAGAAAATGACAGCCGAACAGAGGAGTGTCTACTCAAGAATTATGTTCGTTGTTGAATCCGGCCAAGGAGGGCTCTTTTTTGTATATGGTTATGGTGGAACTGGGAAGACGTACCTGTAGAGGACTTTATCTTCTGGTTTGAGATCCAAAGGCGACATAGTCTTATGTGTCGCATCCAGCGGAATAGAATCGCTTTTGTTGCCAGGTGGACGAACAACGCATTCTCGATTTGATATATCATTGAATCCCCACCAGGAATCTACTTACAACATCAATCAGTCAAGCCCTCTAGTGGAATTGATAATCCGTGCTTCTCTAATAATATGGGATGAAGCACCAATGATGATCAAGCATTGTTCGAAGTTGTACAGACATCGCTGCAGGGTATTATGGGAGCAATTGTTCCTTTGAACTTGAACAAACCATTTGGTGGGAAGCCGATTGTTTTTTATGGAGATTTTCGACAAATCCTTCTTGTCATTCCAAATGGTAGCCGTCAGGACATAGTCAATGTTGTCATTAATGATTTTGACATATGGAGAAGTTGTATTGTGCTTAGGCTCACGGAAAACATGCGCCTTCAGGGACTTGCTAATTCGGATGAACATGATGAGCTTGCACGGTTTGCAGATTGGATAGCCAACATCGAAGATGGAACTATCGGGGGGTCGAATGATGGATGTGCAGCTACAGACATACCCGAGGACATTTTGCTTCAGCCATCTGATGATCCTGTTGCTCAGATCGTTGAAAGCACATATCCAATGTATAAAGAGGCACCCGACAATCCAAGTTATTTGAAGAATAGGGCTATATTAGTGCCGACGTTGGATGTGGTCGAGTCTATCAATGAGTACATGACATCATTGAATTTGTTGGATGGCCGTATGTACTTGAGCTCTGACAGTACGTGCAAATCGGATTCTAATAATTATTTTTTGTCTTATATCCATACGCCTGAGTTTTTTAATAGTATCAAGTATTCCGGAATACCGAACCATGAGTTGTATTTGAAGATTGGAACTCCAGTCATGTTGTTGTGGAACATGTATCATTCTATGGGTTTGTGTAATGGGACACGATTGTTGTGACAAAGCTATCCACTCACGTTCTTGAGTATAAGATACTCACAGGAGATCATGCTGGTGATAAGGTGTTGTTTCCAAGAATGGCCATAACTCCTTCTGATGTTAGAATTCCTTTCAAGTTCCAGCAGCGACAGTTTCACATTATGGTTTCTTACGCCATGACTATAAACAAGAGCCAGGGACAATCCTTATCTCATGTTGGCTTATTTCTTAAGAAACCAGTATTCAGTCATGGTCAATTATATATTGCTATCTCCCGTGTCACTAATCGAAAAGGTTTAAAAATCTTAACTTGTGGCGAAGATGACGTGCCAAATAATCAAACCAATAATGTTGTATATAGAGAAGTGTTCAATAATATATGATCTTTTCAATTTAATTATATGTTTATATGTCTATTCTTATGATCATGATCATTCCATTATTACACAATTTATATACAAAATTGTCTTTTAAGAAGCGTATAGATAATAATATTCCCGTGCAACGCACGGGTGATTACTAGTTATAATAAATTGGTCCAGACACAGTATATTTGGGCACTTTTAAAATAGAAGAGAATGACGATTAAACGTTCGTCATATTCTTTTGGGTGGATTAATGTGTTTCTATTCTCATTCTTATGAAAATTGAGAGATTTAATGCATTTTGTGGATGGGATAGGCTTCAAGTATCAAAGTTGGTAATTATAGTCAAACTCATTAAGGGTAATTAAGTTATTTGACACTCATTAAGGAAATTTTAGTCATTAACAATAAATCTTAATCATTAATGGGCCCCACCACAATCACCAAACCTAAATCGCTATCTCTCTCACACTCATACACAAAAACACACACTAAACTCACGCCACACACACACACACACACAACATACACTACATCAACGGTCAATGCCGTCAGATCCACTGGTCCAATCGCCGGAAACCGACAGAATCGCTGCCGCAATAGACTCCTGTCACCCGTCGCAACTGTCTCGGACTTTCGACAGAGAAGGCCTCCAGCATGGCAGAGGAGAAATATAAGGCTCGGTCCTGATTGTGGGTCGCCGGGGGTTATTTCCGGCGAAGAGGCGGAGGAAGATGAATGGCAGAGATCCGTGGTTGGCGGAGAGTTGGTAGCAACCAGACGTCAAGGAAGGAGCGAGAGGCTTCAAGCGCCACATCTCAGACGCTGAACGTCGGCAAGTTGGTAGGAGAAGGTGCACTTGGACAGAGGGCGGCGGGCGGAGGATGGTGGGTAGAGAGCGTCGGTGTTTGCAAAATATTTTCACTACCCGCAAGTGTACGGTATAACTATAGTAAGCGGCGAGCAAGGTCGTATTCTACAGAGATCGTAGTTAAATTAATTAAGTACCAAATATTGACGACTAAATATTATTTAGACTAACTCAAATTTGAATGGTGATTTTATTCTAAACTAATGAATGATTGCAAAATAAATTCTAACACTAATGAAGGCTTGTTCTAAGA